AAAAGTTTTGGTCCCAAAACAGAACCTTGAGGAACCCCACATTCAATTTTCAGTCTTTCAGATGAATTGTCTAAATAATGCACACACTGGGACCTATTTTCTAGATAACTACTTAAACAGTTCAAAGCGATTCCTCTCACCACATAATTCAGCTTAGAAATCAAAATAAAATGTTGCAGCGTATCAAAAGCTTTTTTTTAAGTCAACAAATACCCCTGTTGTATATTTATTTTTGTCTGTTGCAAATGAAATGTTGTCAATAGTAGTCATCAATGCTAATGCCGTTGATCTGTTATGCCATTAGTCATACTCCCAGCATTATACAATCTAAATTTCACATTATTTCCATCAGTCGATGCATCTTGCATTTTATTGTCAATGTTATCATCAATGAAGTGTAGCGGTTAGAGGTTGCTGGTTTGATTCCATTGTTGATGTTTTGTATATTATTTTGTGAACACAAGGACGATCTTAAAATTACTTTTAAGGTTTTACTTACGGTTGTCCTGGGACAACATGTTTGGTACTGAAAGCTTCTGGATTGCTTTTCAACTCCATGTTAAGCAGCAGAACCACCGTTTATTGAACCAGAACAGTTTTTGAAGTAGATTCATTCTCACACCAGGGTGTTCAGTTTGTAAAAGATTGTAGTTTGGCGTATAAAGAACGGAGTGTCAGACCTGTCTAATGCCATAACCCAGAAAACTGGGCCGCTGAAGCCAAATGACAAGTTGTGTGTTAGATCAACTGTGTAAACATATCTGGTCTGTTCTGTGTTCACCAGCATGTCATCTGTGTGTATGAGCTGTGGGTTAATCTTGGAGGCTGTAGCCAATCAGGCTGCTACAGGCTCAGAGTACAGAGCCAATATTTCATCTGCAAAACTAAGTAAATGTGGGTTCAGAAGGGAAACAATATGAAACTTTGCAATACTGGATTCCTCCTAAATCCAATACCTACATAATGCTGCTACCTCACAAGAGCTAATTAAGATATAAAAACAACAACAAAAACATGGAGACCTTGTATAATTTCTGGTTACTGGCATTTTGACTATAAACTTTATAGGAACCAACAACTCAGGCCGTGAGCAAATATTGATATTAAAAAATTCTGAGTCACGTTCAGATTAGAAGCTTAAAATGTGTCATTTCTAGACAGCTGGTGATTCAGAGGTTTATCATTACTGGTGTCACAATGTAGCTCTGAGGAAAGTCACATTCACCAGCTCTAAATCAGTCATGCATAATAACTGCAATGCTGGGATCCGTGTGCAGCTCTGTGTCATGTGTCTTATGACCTTGCTAAAATTGTCAGTTTGAGGAATCATGAAAAGCTGTTTGAAATTTTTTTTTTTGCTTGATATTGAGATTCCTGTTAATTCTGCAAAGTGCTGACAGTGAGTCAACAAAATAGCAACAAGTAAACCAAACTCTGTTGGCAGGGCAAGTGCTGACGTGTGTTTCTGCTCTCCCATGAACTATGGTGTGCTGGCTTAGCATAGTTATGTGGTCAGTATTTTAACTTGTTTCATTTTGTCTCACATAATCTTCAATCTTGGTAAAATGGTATCATGCAGAACCAACACAATCTAGCTTTAGTTTCAAATGACTGAAACATAAATTTAGAGAAAACAACTCGATGGGTTCTAAATGTTTAGAAGTTTTTAAAGTGTACTTCTCTGCTAAAGAGGGTTTTTACTGCACCTTGGATATTCAACAATGAGTTTCATAGGTTTACATATCGCTTACACCAAAACAGCCACAGAAATAGGACTGGCATTCTTGCTGTTTGATATGAGAAAGGTTTATGGACTCTCTTTGTAGCTTGTTGGAGCATGTGTAATATTTAATATACATTCTGGCTGGTAAAATTTCACAACATTAATATATACAGAGGCAGAGATACAGCATGGTGGAAAACACCCAGCACGCCCCTGCGGGCGGTTTATCCTTCAAGCTCGGGTCCTCTACCAGAGGCCTG